CCAGGCGTGCACGCGCCGGCCGCCACCGCGGCCGCGGCTGCGCGCGCGGCGGCGGCGCCGGCGCCGCGGCGCACTCGGGGCAGCGCAGGGGCGCGAAGATGGCCCATGTTCTGCTGTCACCGGCCAAACTGGCCAAAAAATCTACTACAAAGACCTGCGGCGGATGGGATGGCGGCTGAGCTGATGGCAGGCCCAGCCCTTGTCGGGGTTCTGCTGTCAAAGCACCAAGGCCCCAGCGCAGCGTCCGCGACTGCGGGCTGCTGCTGCAAGCTCAGGTGTAGGTGGCAATCCACTGCGCGAACGCACCTCCTCTTCAGCCAGAAGGTCCTCAGCTTGATCAACAGCGGCGGTCGTGCCGCGTGCGCCGCCTGGGGTGCTGCAACGCGCGAGCACGCCGTCCAACACATCTACGATCACTGCAGGACTGACGGCGTCCGAGCCCTGGACAAGTTGCCTCAGTAGGTTAGACCTAGAGGTGTGCCTCAACTCCTGCACCAAGCGGGCCGCGGTTGGGCCGTTGCGGGCCTGCAGGGCCGCGGCGATCTTTCCTAGTAATCTGTCCATGTTGCACATAATAAACGAATGTTCTGGTTTTGTAAATAAACCTGATCTCGGCTGTGCATAACATCACTAGACGGACACGCCGCCAGGCACAGCTGCTGGCATCTGCGTGATGACCTGCTTTTTGCCGGCCCTGGACTCGATGGACTGGTGCCGTCGCATGCCCTGGGATGCAGCCCCTGTCCACCTGCAACAACTTACAAGATGCAGCTGACAAGTCAAGCCCATGCACCAGCGGTTACAATAGCAGCACAAACACCTGCACGCGCGGGACCGCACCCAGGCGACCTCAGTATCACCGCTGCCGCCGCCGCGGCCCCCGCGCGCTGCTCTCAGCCGGGCCCCTGCTGGGCTGCAAGGGACCCCAGGTGTAGCGCCCCCTGCAGCCGCCCAGACCCGTCCCTGACCCCTAGCGCGAGACAGTAATGCTCCTGCGAGGGGTGTAGGGGTGTGGGATCGTTGTGGTTCTGTGTGTATTGGTGTGTGTAGGGTGCGATGGCACCTTCCTTTCAAGGTTCGGGAAGGGGAAGGCGAGCCACGAATGAATGCAGGCGTACTGCTTGCGCCAGATATCGCACAGCATGTGCCCGCCCATGCATGCTTTCACTCCGTCATGCCCCCAAGTAGAAAGCACACGCGAAAAACAATCCCATGGGATCGCCCTTACCACAAACGCGTGCAGAGAACAGGCGGTACCAACCCCAGAGCCCTTTTGATGCGCCCCGCCCCGCCCCAGCCACCTGCATGAGCCGCCACTCCTCCAGCTCATCAAGCATCTCGAGGCGCTCCGCCGCGGCCCGCGCCCCGGGCGGCAGCCAGCCGCCATAGTAGACGCTGCGAATGCACACGCAGGTAGTGCGTGGGGCGGCCGGGCAGTGCATGGCAGGGTCAGCAAGCGTGGGCAACGTGAGTGGGTGGGGCTGGGTGAGAGAGAAGCCCGCTTCAGAGCAAGCCAGGCGCCGCGGGATGCGCTTGGATGGCAAACGTGAATTGCGCATTCCAGATGATTGTGAGGTCTGATTTGCAATGCATAAGCATGACCCGGACTGTAGCAGGCTGCACAGATGCAGTCCGGCGTGGACTGCGGCGGTGGTTGCGGCGCGCCAAGGCAAGGAGAGCCGCTCCTGCCGCCCACGCACCGCCACATGTCTGCTGCCGCGGCGGACGGCCAACCGGCCGCCACCAGGCGCGCCGCGTGGTCGCACGGCTGCGGGACGGCAGGCAGCCCCAGCAGCGGACAGCCGCGGTCCTGCAGGGGGCGGTCGGGGGTGGGCGGGGGCCGCGGGGTGCGTCAGAGTGCGTGCTTGCCCCTTGGCATGCCGCGGCAGTGCGCCGGCCGCCCGACGCAATTGTAAGCGGGGGCAGGCTGCACAAACGCCGCAGGAAAACGGCCAGCAAGCGAAGCCAGCCGCAATCCATGCGCAACCCCCAGGGACCAAGCCGCGCCTGCCCTAGCGCCGTCACACCACTCCCCAACGAAAACACCAGGCGCAACACAAAGCGGGCCAAGACCCAAAACATTGACCGCCATTTATAGGAAAGTGGTTGTCGATAAGCGCCGAGCACACAAGCGGGACCACCGTCACGATGCAAACGTTTGAAGGGCCCGTTTGCACCTCCAAATTGGCCACCATGGTGCGCCCAAAAGCGTCGTCTGGCCGACACATCTCGTACACCGCGACCGCGCTCGCGGCGCCCGGCGCGACGCACGACGCCGCGAAGGCCAGCAGGGCGGCGGCGTGGTGGGGCTCCATGTAGACGAGGCAGCACTCTGAAAGAAAGAGGGTGGGCAGCCTGCGGGGCGCAGAGAGCGCCGCGAGTGTCGCGAGGTGAAGGCAGGGGCAGTAAACCCATGAGCGGCCCGCGGGTTACGGCAAGACAGCGGAAGCAAATGCGGATGAGACGGCAGGCAGTGTGCGCGCGGTGGGATTGCCCGAGCTGCGGCGACAGGTGTGCCGGCGGCGACGTAAGCCGAGCGCCACGGGCTTGGGGTTGGCAAGTCAATTGCCATTGCCGGCGAACTACACGGGCGCCACGGGCTTGCGATTGGCGATTCGCCCGCCGTTGCTCCAATGCGCCCTCACCCAGGTTCGAACCCCGCGCGCGCCATGGCGCTTTCCAGCGCCCGCAGATCCCGCAGGTCAGATCCCACCAGGCTGTAGCTGCCGCCCCGGCTGCCGCCTCTGCTGCTGCCGCTGCTGCCGCTGTTTGCCCCGGCGCCACCTGGAGGGGCCGGAGCTGCGCCCCCGGGGGCAGCGCTCTCAGCGGAGGCGCAGCCTTCCGAGCTCGCCGGCCCGGCAGCCGCCTGCAAGCCGCCGCTGCTGCCGACGCCAACGCCAGCGCCGCCGGCCGGCGCAAGCACCTCCCGAGCGTGCTGCGCCACATGCGGCGGCGGCGCCGCCTCCGGCCCCAGCCCCGCCCCGCTGCCTTGACACCGCCACGTCAGCCGCGCCGCGCCCGCGCCGCCGCCGCTGCCCGCCCCGCCCGTGCTTGCAGCGCCGCTGCCGCTTCCTGGCGAGGGCTGCGCGCTGTCGGCTGCGGCAACTGCGATCGTCCCAACTGGAAGCAAGCTCCACATATCAGCGTGGGCCAGAACCGTCCGCGCCTTCTTGGCAGCTACCTCCGGAAAGTCAATCTCGATGTAGCGGCAGCTGCTGAGAAGCCGCCCAGCATCTGCGCTGAAGCTGCCCAGAACGCGTGCCACCTCAGTCGGCGGTGCGGCGCGCGGGGCGCCGACGCCGACGGGGCCCAAGGCTGGCAGCTGGAGTGGGGCAGGCGCTGCCGCCTGCTGCTGCTGCTGCTGCTGCTGCTGCTGCTGCTGCTGCTGCTGCTGCTGCTGCTGCTGCTGCTGCTGCTGCTGAGACGCCGCAGGCTCCTTGTCGCCGGCTTCTGACTGGGCTGCCATTTGAAACCAAGCCGTGTCAAAACCAGCCCCTAACACCACCACCTGACACCGCGGGCCCCCCGCCTGCGGCTGACAGTTTGGCCGTTGCCGCCCCTGTAGCTCCTGGTGCTGACCCCGCGCCTCCACGCACCCAGCCGGCCGCGGCAGATCCAGAGAGCCTCCAGGCGCCTCCTCCTCCGCTGCCTGCCGCCCCTCTGGCCGCTGGGCCCGAGGGGAAGCGGCGTCACCCCGGCCGCACGTGGTTGCACCGCTGGTGCTGCCGCTGGTTCCACCGTCTGTGCTGTCGTCCCCGCAGCACGCAGCTAGGAAGGAGGCCAGGACCTTCCTCACCACGGCGTACCGCGCCCAGTAGCCTGGGGTTGTCATCACGCCAGTGAACGTGTTGTTTTGCAGTGAATAATGATGGGCGCAGGTTCATTGCTTGGTTGATAGCTTACCGGTACGTGATGCATGTCATAGTGTGCTTCCAGGGTGTGCTTGCCGATACAGCGAGTTGGCAAGAAATCAGCCCCCTTTCCCCAGCCTGCATCCGTCGTTTTTGCAGACGCGGCGACAGCAGCGGCGCCGGCGGCCTGCTGCGCACCTCGGTTGATCATGGGGTTGCGACGCTGGGGCCGCCGCACGAAGCGGTGCACAAACTCATCCGAAAAGTATCCGCGCTGCACGCACGACCTGGAAGAGTGGATACAATTGTACAGGGAGGAGTAGGTAAGGATAGCGAGTCGATCAACGCGTGTGCTGGGCCATATGGTGCCTGCAAGCACACATACAGCACTGGCATGGCCGGCGGCAGCGGCGCATCAGGTACGAGCCTGCAAAGCTCGCAGCAGGTCACGCGCAGCTTACAGTTTGCTGATTTGCGCATCATCATTCGTGCTCTGCACGCCGGCGTCCCCTGTTGCTCGCAGCATCGACCGTCCCGCGCTCGATCTCGGCCCTGGCAATGAGGGCGGAGGCATCTCCATCGTGCTAGTGATGCAAGTACTATTGCAGCTTTGTGGCCTCGCTGCGTAGCTGACTGCGAGGTCGTGGCGATCGAACAGAGTCTTTCCTCACTGCTGACCTCACCGCGGCGCGCAGCTGCCGAGTTGGGAGCTGCGGCTGGGTCGTCTCCGACATTCGACCACGCCGCCGCTGGAAGAGCCTGTGCAAGCATGCCAACGCCAGACCTCCGCCACCGACGCCTCGCCAACGACCAGGCGGTCAATGGATTACACAAGGCGGACCATGTTGACCGCAAACTTCTCCTTCTTGGTCTTCTCCACCCGTCTGACTTCCAGCCGTCCCCGCCCTGTGACAGACACCACGTCGCCCTCTTTCAACTCGACGCTGGGCTTCTTCGCTTCCCGCCAGTTGACACGCACATCGCCCCCTTTGATGAGATCCGCCATGGCGCCGCGGCCCATGCGGAACCCTGGGGGTCGGTGCCATTTGAGGGTGGGGGCGGAGCAAGGGGCAGTCAGGGCGGGAGGAGTGGGGGCCACAAGGTAGCAGGAGGGGGCAAAGCGGTTGGGAGGGGATAAAAGGCTGGGGCTGCAGGGTCAGTGACAACGGCGGGGGCTTCTGAGAGTCAATTGCATCAATTGGATTGTGCCAGGCCGGGACAACATCATGTGTGCCAGGGAAAGCAGGCAACCTCCTCCCCTTTCTCAAGCTGTGCCGCGCCACCCCTGACAGTGCAGCGAGCAAACACCGCCCGTGGCGCCGACGCCCGAGCGAGCAGCATACACGGCAGCAGGCAGCGCGCGCGATGCCCGAGGCCCTGCTGCCCCCTCCCCATGCGCCCCCTCACCGGCGCTGGCGATCGCATCGAGCCGCATGGACGCCTCTACGCTTTTAATTTCCTGCTCCTGCCGCGGCGGCACGCGTAGCTCCTGCAGCGGCACAAGGCGCGTCTCCACCGGCACCGAGCGTACCTATGGCGGGCAGGCGGGCGTGGAAGTAGTTGGCGTGCGGTCGGTGGCGTCGTCGGCGCAGCGCGGCCGCCTGTATGCAGCGGCCGAAGCGGGGACGCCTGCCATCGCGTTGAGCTGCGGGCCCGTCTTGCCGTCTGTTTGGAAGCCGACTGTGGATGCAGCACCCGGCTGAGAGCTCGTTCGCTGGCGACCATCGGTCGAATCAGGTAGTGTTGCTGTTGACAAGCAGCCGCCCTCCACTCAAGGCGCGACAAGCCCGATCCGCCCGCCACCATCTCACTTTGCTCAAGGCCAACACAGAAACGAAGTCAGCACCAATAGCCCCAAATCACCACATTGGCTGGACCTCACCTGAGTCAGCTCGGCCTCAAAGTGCTCCGCCAGCTCAGCGTCCACCAGCACCTGCGCCCCGCCCTCCCCTTGCACCAGAATGTCGCCGATCCGATCACGCACGATGCCTACAGGCAGCGGGGCGCAGATGTATGGGGAGGGTGGGGTATGCTTTGGTGTGCAGCTGGTGCCGATAATGGTACCGCTCTGGTGACGGCGTGAAGTGGAGCGAGCCGCACATGTGTTGCGTAATAATCAGAAACTGCAGCCCCAGGAGTACCCCCGTGGCTGCCCTGCACCGCCGCTCTCTACAACCGTCTCCCTCCCCACCCCAAACACTGCCACCACCACCACTTCGCTGCCTTCCCCACTGAGACGCAGCTGCTTTGCCTACCAGTGCCGACCAGTGCCCCAAGGAAGTCGCGGTGGTTGGCGGGGTCAAACATGAAGTTGCCCCTTATGTCCAGGGCGGCCACTCCTTCCAGCTGCGAGGGATCGGCCTGCGCCGCCGACAGGAGCTCGTCCCGCCCGATGACAATCCTGGTTGGGGCCGGTGTGGGGGCGAGGAGGGCGTGCGGTTGCACATGCATGTGGCCGAGCGCGGGTGGTGAGAGAATTTGAAGCCATGCACATTCGCTCGTCCTTGGCTGAGGCGGCACGGGATTTGTACAAAGGACACTCTGGACGGCGCGCATGCATGCCAAGCAGTGCGTGTGTGTGCAGCTGCTGCGGGGTGGTCAGCGCCGCCCAGCCACAAACGCACCCACCTGCAGCGCTCGGCCTGAGGGTACCCGCCCCAAGCGATAGCGGACACCTCTGCCAACTGACGTGGACGAGGGAAGTGGAGGGGGATTGCGGGCTGCTGACAGCTTGCACCATGTGGGGAGTCTGGCATGCCCATGCAGCAGTCTGGCATGCCCCTACTGCAGCGCCGCAGCCCAGTCCAAGGGGCCTCGCTGGCACCAATCAGTGGCGCCCCCCCCCCTGAGGTGTCACGCTGGCATCAAGCTGCTGCGCAATGTTGCAGGCAACGGAAGGCAGGCAGGCAGGCACCTGGCCGATCGCCTTGAGGGCGTCCGCTGCGACTGGCGGCGAAACGAAGCGGCTCCAAGTCAGGCTCCAGCCCTTGGCTGCCTGCTCCGCCAGGTCAAGGATGACAGCCACCTCGGCCCTGTTCTCAGGCGCGACTGCTAGCATCTCCTTTGCGGTGCTCTTCGCCTGCGCCGCCACGCTGCGGCGCTGCTGGTGCTGCTGCTGGTGCCGCTGCTGCTGGTGCCTGCGTGCTGCAGCGCATGTGGCGAGGGCCAAGGGGCCGCCGCTGGTGCTGGCGCGCGCTGGGGAGCAGGCCCAGCCGCACCCCATTGGCATAATGCATCTTGAAAAGCTCATTGCGATAGTAGGGGGGCGGCAGTTCAGGATCCGAGATCGAAATTGATTGTGACGCGGACAGTGACACTGTTTCGAACAGATGCCTACGGTTTTGCGCATTTATGCGCTTTATTTTTACAGAATCTTGGTCCTTACACGACGAAAACCGGCAGTCCAAGCTGCCTGCTGTGCAGCGACTTGCTTGCAGCCTCCTGAAGCTCAGGGGCGACCGTCCGATATGCGTACATCACTCACAAATTTCTCAGGTGACCCGCCTGCATGGCGAGACAAGCCCTCTGCACGCGCCTGCGCGTCACCTGCGCACGGTCATGCACGTAGCGTAGACCGAGGTTGGCGCATGCGGCGGAGCCCCATGCATGACCGCGCCAGATGCCCCATGCTCTGGACGATGCCTCGGTGGGCGCAGGTATGTGGCGACGCGCGCAGGCATCGCGCCCATGTGGCGGGCGCCGGGGCTGCTGCCCGTCCGCGGCGCAGCGGCGCCTCGCGTGTCAGGTGCGCCTCCGATTTGGGGGTTGAACGCATGGCGACACGGATGCATGGCGATTGGCTTGTCCTGTAGTTTGATGCGCCTGATGGCATGATGCCCTTGAAAGCATCCTGCTGCTGCCTGATATTCCATCGCTCACAGCCGCGCAAGCGTGCCATGTTGCGACTGCCTGCACCCAACCCGATCGAGCCGCGCGCAGCCAGTATGCTTCAAGGCGGAGCGCCGCGCGCCGCCGCCACAGCCGCAGCAGCCGCCGCCAGAGGGCCACCGGGACAGCAGCCAGCCTTCTCGTCACGAGGCTCGCCTGGCGGGGCAGGAGCTGGCCACGGAGCAGAAGATCGGCAGAGCCGCCCACAGCGGTGCGCGTGCGAAACCATACAACCCTCCACTCCTGCAGTCCTCTGCCCCGCCGCGATCAAAGGCAAAGCGGCTGCCCTTGCACCAACACAGCACGCGGACATCACACATTTGTAGGCACGCCCAACAACCTGTAGACCTTTTCTCCGATGATGCATCACCTCCCAATCCATCTACCGCCTCACATGCTGTTTCCTCGAAACTCATGCAGTGACCCACAGGGTTTCAGGCATCCTTTCCAGCCCCTCCACCCAAGCCGCCTGCTACACTCTCCTCGCGTCCACCGCCGCGCTCGCCGCGCCCGCCGCCCTGCTCGCGCCCGGCCGCCTCTGCGTCGCGCTGCTCGGCGGCGACGCCGCGGCCGACCCCAGCGGCGCCGCCGTCGCGCTGGCGCGGGTGGCGGGCGCGACGCTGCTGACGTCAGCGTCCGTCCTTTATACACTACGGGTGATGATCGCGCAATGAGTCTGCACCATCCGCCGTTGAGCGGCATCGCACCAGGGACTTTTCCTCTCGCCAACTTGCACCCTTGTCCCGCTGCTGCCGCACGCCGTCAGGGCCTGCCGCCTGCAGTCTTGCTGGGTCCTGCGCTTGCAGGTCCCCTCCCAACGACAAACCCTGCAAGGACACCGCCGCCGACCACCTCCGCCACCGCCGCCTCCGCCGCCGCTTTCGAAACCTCGGCACGTCCGCAGGAGGGCGGGCGGCGCGGCCAGCTCGGGCTGCCGACCTTCCTGCGCCTCAACGCGAGCGTGATGCTGCAAGGCATGCTGGGACTGACCGTCCTCAGTCAGGCCGTCAGTATCAGGACCCCCCAGCTCACAGGTGTGCCAGTCTGCATTGCCCCCTGACTGAGGACGTCTGCTGTTTGTTACAAAACATCTATCTCTGTCAGCCGCGTGCCAACGGCGGCCCGCCCGCTGATTGCGGCATGTTGGGCGGTGGCGTCAAGAGGGCCAGTGCTTGCGCTGGATATCGCCGGACCGCCACATCCAGCACTACTCTTTCTTGGGTGCGTGGCCCAGCGGATACCGCTTAGCTGACCACCTGCACCGCTGCTGCCCGCCGTGCCCCGCCGCCGCAGCCATCGTTGGAGCTCCTTTCGCGTTCGCGGTCCTCGTCACCGCCCGTCTTTACAGCCTCTACAAAGGCGGGTTTCCCGCCCCCAGCCTCGTGGCGACCGCAAGCGGCGCGGCCGCGCTGCTCGCGCCGCGCCACGCCGCGGCGGGCGCGTACTCAGCTGTTTGCGCGGCGCTGGCTGTCGGGGCAGGTACCCTTTGGTTTGCAGGCATCGGCTCCATATCCCCCATCGTGAGCTGACAGGGGTGATGCGTCCACATAATCCTTGATCACGTCTGATTTGCTGTATTTGCTGTACTTGCTGTATATTCCGCACCCGTGAGCGGGCTCGTCCGCCGTGGCGGCGTCCTTGACAGTGGCTGTTTTGAAACCACAGCACCCTGGTCTCACCACATGCGCAGCCGCGCTCACCAGCCCTCCTCTCTCGCCCCTCCCAGTGGGGCCGCGCCGCGCTGCAGCCGGCCGCCGTGTTCGCGGCGCGCGTGTCAGGCGCAGGGGTGCTGGTGCAGGCGGTGGTGGCGTATTCTCTGAAGGACGCCGCAGACAGGGGGATGCTGGGGGCGCCTGTCTTCAGGCGCGCTGCTGGGCGGGGCGCTGCGGGCCTGGCTCACTATGGCATCGATCACCGCCATGCAGAGGGCCTGGCGGCTGGGCTCTGTGAAATTTGACGCTGATTTGGTTGGAAATGGTGGTGCTGTCTGCTTGGTCGTGTTGAAGGCAGGAGGGGTGCTGTTGAGCCATGTCTGGAACTCAGCGCCAGCCTGGCAGCATGTCTTGTGTCGATACTGCGGGCAACAGGCTGCATATGACTCGCTCACGCACCCTCGCCTCCATTCCCTGCCAGGTGGCTCAACCTTGGACTGTTCGGCGGCCTAATCGCCGCTGCGGCAGCGCTGGCGGCAGTCTCCTTTGACGCGTCTGTCTTGGCGGCCACGTCGCCCGCCGTGCTGGCCACCCTGCTGGTGGCTGCAGGTTTCTCTGCGTATCAGTATGCTGCCCATGCCTCAGGAATTGCTCCGACCGCTCCTGCTGAAGCAGAGGCGGAAGAGGAGGGCACCGCTGATGATCAACAGGCGGCCGCGGTCGCAAGCTGAGTAGAGCAGCGGACGCGCACCTCACCCTCGTGCTGGTGCCTTTCGCGTATGCTCGTTTCTGCATGATGTTTGTGCTGCTGGGCTGTTGGTTGCCCTGCTGGCCTGTTGGTTGCCCTGCTGGGCTGTTGGTTTCCCTTCTGAATCTGCTTGTACAGTTCTTCCTGGTGTTTTTGGTAGCACATAATCTGCCTGTCGCTGAGAGAGGTGCGTCATTGCTTATGGCTGTTGCTGCTGCCTGTGAGTTCCCAGCCACCATTTGTGGACTAAGTCACCCTGCTGGCTTGCTTGTTGGAAGTGGGCGTTTTGCAGCACCCAGCCCCGCAAGTCACTTGCTCTCCTTACAATTGGCAGCGCAAGAATAGAGGCAAAGCTGTCAGGTGCCAGCGCACAAAGGCGCATCCTGCACGACTTCCCGCCCCGACCACGTATCGTCCACCGCCCACCCCACTGCAAGTGTCGCTTGCACAAGGTTGGGGTGTGCATGCATCCGCGGACCCGCAGTGCAAGGAATGTGTGGTGTCACCGTGCCTCACACGGGTCCCTTGAATTGCACGAAATAAAGGCAACAGCTGCAGGGCAGCTGCGCAAATTGGACCATTAAGTGGTCAATTTAACCCTTCATAGTGGCTCCATTATATGCACATGCTTCACGTGTGCATTCCTAGCCTGATTGACTTGTGTCTGTTGCCTGATGAGGCTGCTGATGGGCCGCGGCATGTCTCTCTTGCGCACCGCAGCTGCGTCGGCGGTCCGCTCGCTCACAGCACCACGGCCACAGCCGCCAGGGCCGCAAAAAATGCGGCCGCCGCGCCCGCCATGCGACCGGAGGCCGAGTTCTTGGCGGCGGCGGCGGGCGCCGGCGAGGGGGAGGGGGAGGCGACCGGGGCCGGCGAGGGGGACGCCGCTGCGGCCGGGCTGAGCAGGGTGACGAGGCACGGGGGCAGGGCCTCGGCCGAGGTGAAGGTGCAGTTGGCGAGGCGGGCGATGGCGGACACCTCCACGCCGGCGGCGGTGAGGCTGCGCGGGCGCGGCGCGGGTGCATGGGAGGTCATGGGGAAGGAAGGGGGACGATTTTCAGCGCGACCTGGTTTGACAGAAGGCTGTTGAGGGGATGATGGGGGCAGGGAGCCCTACCCGCTGCAAGGCAAGCGGGTATTGTTGTTGTAGATGAATAAGAAAACCTGTGGTACGCGCGCAAGGTCTACAGTGGGTCCGCACACACAAAAGGCAGCAGGTCTCAAACAGGCCTTTGAGTGGCGGTCCCAGGTCCCTCAACCCTGAACGCACCTGTCGGTGTAGGCGACGCTGCAAGCAGCCGTCGCGGCGGCGGCCTTCGCCACAGGGTAGGCTGCAGGGTTGGCGGGGTCAATCGTCAGGTTCGCCGCCTTGAAGGCGGGCAGGAACGCGGAGACGAGGGCGCAGGAGCAGTTGCTGCAGAAGCTGCCGAGGGGCGAATCGGCGGCGCACGCCGCGGGGACGCCGTCGAAATCGAGGGTGGTCGTGTCGGGGGAGATGGGGCAGCCGGCGGCGGAGGGGAGGTCGGCCTTGGGTGCGGCGGCGGTGAGCGCAGAGATCTTCTCGATCAGGGCGGTGGCGTTGATGGGGTTGGTGAGGGTGCCTGCGGTGGTGTGGGAGTGGGCAAGGTTTGGGGGTCAAGAAGGGAGTGTGCACGTCTGAAAATCAGGGATGTCCGTTCAATTCAAAACAGCATCCAGCTTCAGCGACTCAGGGGAGCTGGGGATGGTGGCGAGGTGCACAAATAGTGCGGGCGCACAATGCTGCAAACGGCGAGAGGAACAGTGCAGAAGGCCCGACAACACGTCCAGGCCGGCGCTCACCCACGTACTCCACGAGCGCGGGGATGGAGTCCAGGTTCTCCGCGGCGGCGGCCTTCAGCACCGCGGCCTGGTCGGCGCTCAGCAGAGCCACCAGGTCTGGGGAGGCCAGGATAGCATCAACCAGCTCCTTCACGCTGTTGAGTTCGCCATCAAGAGCAAATGAGGGGCCGCCCTCGCCGGGGGTCACGGAGGCGACGACCAGCGGGGATGCGGAGGC